TGCCAATTTGACCAACATACCTTCCCTGCGCATCCATTCCTAGTGTACGGGTCTGAAAGATGAAAGATGGAGCGCTTGTATACACGGGCCCGGAAAGCCTGCTTCGGCCGCTCGGCAGCAGCTTCGTAGTGGTGGTCAAGGGTCGAAGACCGACGGATACGGATCAACTCCCCAGTGAACACACCTTTGCCCATACTACAGGGGTGGTTACTACCGACAAGCAGATACAGGAAACGATTGGTGAACTTGAAATGAGGCTTCACCGCCATGTATCCCTTACTACGGAAAACTGTGGTGTCCAGGAAATCAATGCCATCAGGTGCCAGTTCATGAGAAAACTTGAGGGCCGAACACTTATTAATCCTATCTAAAGTGCGCTGAGCTTGACCTTCGCAACCATGCAATGATAAAGCGTCTATAAACCTGAACCTCTAAACCCTCCCCCTCTAAGATCGGCAAAACGTACTGCTTCTCCAAATACAGCATAACAATGTCGGCATAGACCACTGCTGCAGGCGAACCCATGGCAGTCCCTGGCCTTGGATCTGCCGAAACACATCGTTACCATACACGAACTCATTTTTCTTCCGAATGACTGACATCAAGGAAGTCACTGCTTGTAATAACCATGTACGAAGGGCGAGGGGCATCCACCTTGTACAACTGTGTGTGATATACCACGACAACCGAGCTCGTTGGGGATGTTGGTGTAGTAAAGGCTGGTCACATCTATGCTCAATTATAAATGATCGTCCCGCACAGGCAAACCTTCTACCAAGTTGATGAAATCCGCAGTTGAGGTCAGAACAGTACTTTCCTCACATACATACGGGTTCAGTAGAAAGTCAGTGAACTCAGCGGGATAGTAGCCAGGACTATTTAGATTAACAATAGGCCTAACCTTCAGGACCCAGGGCTTATGTGTTTTGAGAAGTCTCCTGAAAACGGGCATGCGCCCCCGGTGCGACTAAGAACAGTGACATAATATATTATATTAGTGGGCATACGATGCTCAATGCGATGCCTAGTCATGGTGAGTAAAGAATTGACTCGGGTCGCTCACACGAAGTCTCAACACAGCCTTGAGCCTGTTGGTTGCCATCGGCAGTCTAGCCGCATGCTCATCTAGCCCCTCAGGCAAAAAAAACAGTCATTTATAATGTTTGGCATTGTGATGCTGGGCACGACCTATATCATCATAGTGAGATCAGTCCAGGACTACTATCACAATAGACTGCCTTTGAATATGCCCGAGTCTGATTGCGTTCTAATTCCCAAACTATGTGCTGCATGTGTACACTCCGCCTATGGTTAGTCTACTCCAGAACAACGCCTGGAGAGGTTCATTGGGGGCATGATGTCCCCCCACCCCATTCCCCCCTTGCCCCCTGCACCTGAAGTACCGGTATTGCCCCCCCCCCCTCCCCAAACAAATTACAGGACACAGATGGAGCACTGGGGAGCACGTAGCAGTAGGAAAAGTTGACGATGCCAGTGCAGACACGCCTGATCTCGGTCACCACACTGGCACCGTATAGTCTCCAAGGGACATAGCTACCAGAGAACACACAGAATGGGAGTATATAGTGCTATCTCGGTGGATAGACAACCTCCTATACACAAAAATCTACTGATAGAGTTCTGTGTAGACCCTATGTGCACATATGTGTGGATGAGTACTGGTAAACGGACAGCTAACCCTAGTCTAAGTAAAATAAAGGTAGAATGTAGACCCTGGGCAAAAAAATAAGTAAATAAAAATATTGACTAGTTTGAGGGAAAGACACAAACGGGAAAAGTCTGAAGAAAAAATTGACTGTCACCAAAAAAATAATAATAGCTACACACACGAGGGAACTCGGATGGAGAGCCAAGGATTAAAATTGAAAAAGAGGACCATCAGTTTACGAGTTATCCGTTTTGTCCAACACTAACGGATATAAACGTGATGCAGCTAAGCATCAGGTCGTTGAATGTCATGATCTCATCAGTCAGTTTTTGTGCTAATTGTTGCACATTTTTGACTCAGCAGTATTCTGCATATAACCGTTAGTGTTGGACAAAACGGATAACTTGTAAACATGAGGGAACACTCATCCTTACCCAAGTCCCAACGTCAGCACTCGGCGCTGCTCCGAACCAAGAGGGACACTGGAGAGATTGTCCATCAGCTCCTCTCTTGTCCTGCGATCAAATCGCCTAATGCTAAACACAAGAAGATAGGAAAGGCAAGTAGAATAAATAAATCAATAAAATATTAAACAACAAAACAAGTTTGAACAGCTGCAAACGTAATGGACGATTCGAACAAGACCAATGATATACCTAGCAATAAGTGTGCAGAGTGTGCAGCCCAAGGATAATCATCCCACGGCAAAGTTTATTGTTTAGGGCATAGACTCGCAGTAACAGGCTCACCTTTGCTGCATCTCACACCGCTTCACACGGTAATCTACTGTATCACCATGGTAATTTCTGTTGCACATTGCTGCTTGTTTAACAAAAGGCAGAAAACACACCGAATTTCCAGGAATTACCATGGTGATACGGTACTTTAGCTTGAACCTATTGTATGACGGGTTTTCTATGATTGATAATGACCCAGAGAGAAACTAAACCGGTATCGAATTCCAGTCAGCGACGCAATTCTTCTGAGGTGTAAAGTGACTTCAGGAATATGTTGCAGAAAACTGCGATGCATGCTGATTATTTACTGTGCCCTATTGTGCACAATATACCAGGTGTGTTACTCAGGGATGAAGTAGATGCACACACGTGCCGGGCATCACGGCACAGGTTAGGTTTGCTACTAGCCGCTGCAGTGTACTTGTGGTCCGAACTTGCACTCTACTCAACTCTGCATACGCAAAGAGTGCTGGTGCCGAAATGAACCAGAAGGGTGCTGAGTGGGACGCAACAACACTGACTCTGTCTACCCATGTACACAGATATGATAGGGTATGCAGTACCTGCTCTAAGATTTAACACAAACCGGGTACACGTCTACCTGGCACAATTCCTGCAACACTGGGCCAGAGCCAGATGCGTTCAAGTGCGGCTACTGTGTGTCAGGGAGTCGTAAACTTACTTTCGACTTCCTGATGTACATGATTGTACATGTACATGTATGAACGTACTCGCACTGGGCACTCTGGCCGCACGCATCTGCACGCGTATGCAGCCTGTCGGTGGCGGTATACCCTCCAACGGTATAAAAAAGTATAGTACTCGACAGGACTTCCGACCAGGTCGCAGGTAACCCAGTGTTCTTTTTCCAAAAGGTCCAAGTACTCACAAACAGGGCCACTGACCCGGCTCTGGAGCAGACACTGGTAATCTAGGTCCAAGTTTGCTCGATTATGTTCTGACGCTTCATGTGCTTTCAAAGCCAAGGTTTCTCACTTTCTTCGCAAGCTCTTTTAGTCTTGAGAGTTGACAACTGCTTATGGTTGTGTTGGCAGAAAACATGTCAGCTAATCTGACAACCGTCCAACCCCATTTTACTGGTAAGTAGTCAGCGAGTGGCTTTGATGGGGCCATACAGTACTAGATTTGAAAATACGCAGCATATTTGTGCTTCCTTTTTGAAAACACGTTCTCGCTCGAAGGGTTTCTAAACTTTATCCCTGCGCTCATTGATGGAGTTCATCGATGGAGTTGCCAGCGGCACTCTACAGAAGAACAATGTTGTCAAGTTTTTTATGAAAAATTGTCAAACATTTTCAAATTGCTATAAGTTTGGTTAGGGCCGGGTTCCACTGCGGCTCCGCAGCTCCGCTGCTCCACGGTACTTGGCTGCATGCAGCAGAGCGGCGCGGTTCCAGTGACACTCGCCATTCACGGTAGCGCGATCGTGCTCGACGTTTTTTCTATGACATTTAGCCTGCCTGCGCGAGCGTGAAATCCAAAAAAATCCTCGTGTTCTGGCCTGTGCAACGAATTAAAATTCCCCCGAATAAAACAATTAAGTGCGGGAAACAATGCAAGCCGTGACCGCGGCTTGCATTTTTTTGTATCAAGCAGCGAAGCGAAAGCTGGTGATGAGCCGCGGCCTCGCTGGACCAGCTCGTAATGATGACGTTTCATGCCGTGGATGATGTGCGGCGGAGCGGCAGTGGAACCCAGCCCTTAGGCAAAGGAAATTTGTCATTAATTTGTTTATGCTGCATAGATGGAGAGCTGCACACTCTGGCTTATGGACTCTCGCCTACAGTGTAGTCGTACTGCTAGTGTACTGGCATTACAGAAGACACGAAAAACGAGAACATAATTATGGCGAGAAAGTAATTACTGGCTAAGAATTGCCCTAAGACTTACCGCGTCTCAGTGCTCCATACCAGGAAGTAGTACAATACCTACTCCCTGCTCCATACGAGTGTTTTCTCCTCATTCTCTGCATCCTTTACCCCAGGAGTCTCGTCCATTTAGCGGCTCAAATGCTTGAGCTCCGGATAGCGGAAAATAGCTCGTCGTCCATTAGCGGCTCTAATAGTACCTGGTCTGAAGTGTCGCAGTCTAGCACAACTATGATTTTTTCCAGGAGGGTAAGGGTTGCAAACCCAAAGAGACCCTAAGCTTCGTCTATCAAACAAAACAATTGCCCTAAAAAATGGAAGAGGAAAAGAGTGAGCGAGCTGGTCTGAGCGCGCTACTTTTCAAAAAATAGAAGCTGAAAGCCATCAAAGTCAAAGCATTCTGGCTAGCGCGTTTGTGTATGTCACGAGCGCTAGCGCGCTAGTCGCAGCAAACGCGTTTAACGCTCACAGGCCAGAGTTAGCGCTATTTGGGCTGTTTGCCGCACGCGGCAGCTGGATGGATCACGTGATCCAAGCTGACAAATAAGGTCCGATGGTTCAGCTACATTGAGCCACAAGCAATAGTCATTGTAGACACCAGCGAAAATTATAAAGCGAAAAACGCACGGGGAAAGACCGAGTCGCCGGCCAGCGCTGCCTACCCTGCCCCCGGCCGCGGCCCCGTGTTCATACTGATGTCAGTTTGATTGTACCACACAGTCCTGCACTCGGAGTTGTTCCGTTCACTTCATTCAGGTCATCAGATTTCCATCACTGAACTGAGAAACTGGGCTTTCGTCTTTCACACCCACCAGTGACCTGTTGTTGTGTTTTGAAAGCAATGGATGCGAAGGCTCAGGAGCCCGCCGCAAAGCGCAAGGCTCTGCTGCCTTCGTTGGTGAAAGCTAAGAAGAAGTTGTTGGAACAGGCTGAAGAGTCGGGAGTTCAGCTGAGCGGCGGCCTCGCTTCCGATGATCACATTCCGCTCGAACAGATATTCGTGAATTTGGCCTTTTTGTCTGAAAAGGAATTGAAAAGAGACTTTGATGAAGCGTTCTCGACGTATGCTGAGAGTCGTGAACACGCAGTGCAATTTAGCAAAGCCGATCGAATTGAATTGAAGAACCTGTTTCGTGCCGCAGCGTCGAGTGTTGACGACGTTTCCCATTCAAAAGGAAAATCTGCACCAGCAGCTACAGCGACCGAGCGACCGAATCTCTGTGGCAAGGTGTTACGGAATGTACTGGCGTACGGATCTGCTGGTAGTGGCAAGACCACAGTGTTTCTGCTCATGGTTCTATACCTGTGGAGCAGAGGCGAACTATGGCAGGAGGAATTCGATCTGGTCGTAGGACTGGAGCTTCGTAAAAAAGAGGTGAGAGCTGCCACTAGTCTTGCTGAGCTGCTGGCTGTGAAACTGGCGAGCCAGGGCCTGTCGCAGACTGAGATATTGGAGCTAGCAAACTACTTCGAGGATTCTCCAAGCCGTCTATGTGTCATCATGGACGGCTTGGATGAATGTGATTTCGCCAGCTGCAGTTTGTTCATGAGTGACTTGCTGAAACGTGAGGGCATGGTGAAGACACACGTGATCGTCACAAGCCGTCCATGCCAGGATGCATATCAACTATCGCAGTGTGGCAAATATCAGCAGAAGATCCAAGTACTCGGTTTCTCACCGGAGAACGTGAGGGAGTATGCAGAGAAGGTTCTCGGTAGACAGCGCGCTGAAATTCTGCTGGCAGAGCTGCAAAACAAGCCGGATGTGTCATGTCTTATGGCAACTCCCATGTTCGCAGCCCTAACATGTGAGCTTTTCAAGAGCAACAATGCCGTGTGGAAGTGCAGTGCATCCCTGTACGAATCGTTACTGCGCCGAGTAGTAGAGCGTGCTGGTGGTGCGGTTCGCGAGTCGATTTCACTGGCACCCAGCAAAGTGGTCCAGTCGCTACAGGAACTGGGGCGTTTTGCGTTTCGCATGCTGCTGGGGAAAAGGATGGTGTTCAACACGGCTGACGTCAAGAACTCCCACTTGAGCAAGGATGCAATGAGCTTGGGTCTTCTACAAACATGCCAGGGCACAATGTCTACGGACGTTCGGCAATACCGCTTCTGCCATCTGTCACTGCAGGAGTTCCTGGCGGCATGGTTTCAGGCGGAATGCGTGGTGAAAGAAAGACATCACGCCATTGCACTGGTACGGCGACTGGGCGCGTACGATGGCCATATGGCAATGTTCTGGAAGTTTCTCATTGCTCTATGCCCGGAAGACGTGTCGCTGACCATCATGGAGGAGCTATGGCGTGTGCAGTGTGCGGATCCCATACCACTGGATCCTAGCGGTGAGGCGGACGAATCCACCAAACGAGCTAATAGATGGGCCAGCGACGGGCGAGAGGAGCGGGCTTCCAACGCGACTACTACAGCTACCAGACATGCTGCCACTGCCGCTAGACGTGCTGCCACCGCCGCTAAGCTAGCCGAGGACATGCGCAACGACTCAAGTGTCCTGACCGGTGAGATGGAGATGGCAAAGGTCCACGACCGTCTTTGCCAGATACTGAAGGCCGAGCACATGACAGTCCTCGCCGACATTCTCCTCATTCCTCGGCATGACCGTGGCAAGGGCCATGGTGGGGAACGTGTGCGCCGTTCCATGCCCATCAGCCGAGAGCCCACAGACGCGCTATTCCTAAAGACTCTCCTGACGGTGTGGATGGAGAACGGCAGTGTTGCAAATGGCACTGTGCTGCTGGAAGCGCTATCCCAGGTGGATGCCGTGCTGGCGCGGCCGTGCGAGAGTCTCCTTCATCCCGCTGCTATGCTGCTGAGTCGTGAATCCCTGCAAGCTGCTCCTTCTGGCATTGTAAGTCTAGCTGATGCTGCTGCTGTCGCTGCTCATGCACATTCTTCTATACGTAGGTTGTTTGTTCATCTTGTTGTGGCATATCATGAGCATGCAGAGTATCACGGTGTTTCCTGCAACTGGACACATCCTTTCTTTCGTACTATGCTTGCATCAAAGCTCATTCTCAATGGCGTTTCTCTTTCTTCTCATGAATGTGTTGCTCTCAGTTCTTTACTGCGTGACTATACATGTAGTGATTTGGAGGAAGTCGACCTCAACTTTTGTCGTATTGGCGATGAGTCATTTCACAGCTTGTCAGCAGGCTTACAGAGGTGTAGCAGTGTACGTGTACTAGAT